GGATAAATAACATTACCACATCACCCTTACCTTCATTCACTTTACAATGGCGTTGTCCCACATGAACGCGTATCACCCCTCTCTCACCCTACTGTACCCCTCCTCTGCATCTTCCACCAGAATAGAGGATTATATAACATTACCACATCACCCTTAACTTTATTCACCGTAGAATGGGGTTGTACCACACGAACTCGTATCTCCCCTCTCTCACCCTACTGTTCCCCTCCTCTGCATCATCCACCAGAATAGAGGATTATATAACATTACCACATCATCCTTGCCTTTATTCGCCGTAGAATGGGGTTGTACCACACGAACGCGTATCTCCCCTCTCTCACCCTCCTGTACCTCTCCTCTGCAACATCCACCAGAATAGAAAATAATATTACATTACCACATCACCCTTACCTTCATACACTGTAGAATGAGGTTGTCTCACATGCACGCGTATCCCCCGTCTCTCAACCTCCTGTACCCCTCCTCTGCATCATCCACCAGAATAGAGGAAAACATAACATTCCCACATCACCCTTACCTTCATCCACTGTAGAATGGGGTTGTCCCACATGAACGCGTATCACCCCTCTCTCACCCTACTGTACCCCTCCTCTGCATCATCCACCAGAATAGAGGATTATATAACATTACCACACCACCCTTGCCTTTATTCGCCGTAGAATGGGGATGTACCACACGAACGCGTATCTCCCCTCTCTCACCCTCCTGTACCTCTCCTCTGCAACATCCACCAGAATTGAAGATAATATAACATTACCACATCATCCTTACCTTCATCCACTGTAGAATGAGGTTGTCTCACATGAAAACGTGTCCCCCCTCTCTCAACGTCCTGTACCCCTCCTCTGCATCATCCACCAGAATAGAGGATTATATAACATTACCACATCACCCTTGCCTTGGTTCGCCGTAGAATGGGGTTGTACCACACGAATGCGTATCACCCCTCTCTCACCCTACTGTACCCCTCCTCTGCATCATCCATCAGAAGAGAGGATAATATATCATTACCACATCACCCTTGCCTTCATCCACTGTAGAATGAGGTTGTCTCATATGAACGCGTATCCCCCCTCTCTCAACCTCATGTGTCCTTCCTCTGCATCATCCCACAGAATAGAGGAAAACATAACATTACCA